GGCATCAGAAGTGAGAATATTCTTCAGAGTTTCAGAATAAGTAGGCATTTTCTAGTGAAGAGGTGTTTCCCAAAGCAAGTCCCTGTTAATAAATACCTGCTGTGAGTGGGTGATATTCCCCTGTGCTCCACAAAGTGGGGAGGAGATTAAGGAACTCTCCATCTGTTTCTGTGGGGTATGGCTCAAAATACATTATGATCTGTGTCTCAGGGCCTGGGGAGACATGGGCTGGCATCGGCACGGCAGGAGGGAGCTGGGCAGTCTGACTCCAAGTATATTGTTTGCTTGGGGAAATGGGAAGGCTGCAGGAAAAATCCCTTAGTAAATGGAGCATATGAATGAAACCTGGTCCTGCTGCCAAGTTTATTCTGCATGTCCTCATGGAGCTAAAAAAGTGCATTAGACTAAACCATTATTGAACTTCTTGATTACATAACAATTTCCTCATCGTATTTCCAAGAATATTGAATCTATCTATATTCAAACACCCTCCTACTCTCTCCCACACACCACCCCTTCTCCTTTCTATATCAGCTTCATTACTGAGGATGAAGACAGAAAAAGTATAGGGCATGTTGCCATGAGCAGATAGAGCTCAGATGCTTACACTGGGATTTTAGAGCCATCTATGGGATTTGGACAGCCTATTGTCATTCATTTCAATGGCTTTGAGAATCTCCAGTCTTATACTTTGACATTAGTTAGGGTTCTTTGCAGTGCAAAGACCAGATGCATATTACCAAACCTAACACTGCCTGAAACTTACCCCACCTGTGGGATAGCACTCGCAGTTTTGCTGCCCACCAAATTCTGCAACTTACTCACATAATCAGCTTGCACGTCTCATTTTGCATCTGTAATAACCAGCCTGTATGCACAGTCATGCTAATCACTTCCAGGAAAGTGCTTTAAATTCATTCAAAAGCTTGCCCTGCCTGCCCTTGGGTTATTCAGCTTCCACAAAGAAATCATACCAGCAATACAGATTCACTCAGTAAAAGTCTTTGCAGAACAGACTATTTGACTGTTTTCTGGAACCCTGCCCTGTACATACTGAGTCGTGCACTGCAAGACAGTGCTGTCTTTAAGAGCCAGTCCAATACCCTCTGCGAGCCACTGAGTAAAGTACCTGATGGGGAAATTCACCACTTATGGTGTGCTGCAGCAGGTGAAATGTAAAAGCAAATGCAGAAATAGAGAAAGGGGAGGAACTTACACAGCTTATTTCATGCGACCTTCTAGAAGAAATGGTCCTGGGAACATGGCATCAGAAGCATATGGCTCAAAAGTGAACCTGGAAGAGCGAAGGAAAGAGGGAATGGTGGGAATTGCATGGAAGGGCTGGCAATCACACTGAGCACCCCTAGAGTGTGAGGTATTGAAACAGGCTGCCCAACAAGGTGGTGGAGTCACCACCCCTAAAGGTGTTTGAGAAAAGGGTAGATGTTGCACTGAGAGGTATTGTTTAGTGGGCACTGTGGTTATGGGTCTAGAGTAGTCATGAGTTGGTGGTTGAACTAGATGATCTTATTGGTCTTTCCAACCATAATGATTGTATGATTCTATGATAAGCACTCGTAGTAGTGTATCTTTCCTTCCACTTTCTGTGTCTCATTACTGACAATGGAAAATGCAAAAGCTGCAGTGCCAGAGAATCAGTATGTCTGTGATAGGAAGTTCCATCAGACAGACGGACGGTCATTTCTGTAACCTAATATACAAGATTGTAAATATCTTGATATAGAGAGTTGTGCCATTGAACACACTGCTAATGCTCGGCAGCAACAGCAACTAGATCCTGTTTGCTGCAGACAGCTGCTCGTCAGGTGGGTTTTTGGGTGGTGCACACTGCAAGACATGTCTTAGAGAAGGATCCTCTAAAACGCCTTCTTGATAAATTTATCCTCTGTTGTTTTGGTATTTTTCAACTGAAAAGTGCTCTGAATACTTGAGGACAGTCAACCCACATTTGGAAGTTTTTCTTAGCCTGACAGCCTTCTAAAGATGTATGATTGCAGCAGACCAACAAAGGAGAAAATCTTTATCTTAGGAATACAGGTAACATCTCGCTGCAACTTGCTGGAGAAATGATAAATGTCTCTGTCTGTTTATTGCTTTGCTCCGTGGCTAGATCTGCTAGACTGAAAACAAATTTTACCCTCGGATCTCCTAGTTTTCAAATTTATGTTCATCTGGCATTGCCTTGATCTTCAAAGCAGTAAAGTATATCAAAAGAAACAAGGTTTGACACCAATTACTGCTTCTGGATGGCATCCACTGAATAAAGATGGAGTGATAATATTTACACTGAAAACGAAGGAGATAAAACACACTAGGTACATCTAAGTCTACAAATAAGCCCCTCTGTGCATAGTGGGCAGAGATAAAGCCCAGCAAGAAATTGGAAACTGCTATTGAAAACATCCCAAACACCTTCAGAAATCACAAGTTGTAAACAAAAAAATCGCTGCAAAACACTGAAAGAGCCTTCTAGGAAAGCAAATGTGGCTCCCTGCTTCTGGGAAAATTTTCTGGTCTTTAGGAGGTGATCTTTCAAATTAATCTGCAGAAATAGCTGTCTGAATTTCTCCCCACTTCAGCATAAAGTCCTCTATCAAAATATCTCCATCAGTTTCGCCTCATTTTTCACCTTTTCTTTCAGCCAAATAGAAGCAGAATCCATGAGTAAGCTTAGATGGTTGCTTCTTCTGATTGCTCATAAGCCAGATTGTATTTCTGCTGACCTCTTCCTACCACTCAATTAACTGAAATGCAGAGATTCATTTTGAAGCTGTTTCCTATCAGTAGATTGTCTTCAGTGAATACATTTTTATACACCTAACACCAAACTTTCTTATAAACAATCTGTTTTGAAAAGAAAGGAAATCTTTCCTGCATTTCTCCTAGTAAATATTAAGTAACTGAAAGTGATGATATTTTAAAATTCCCAGCATTGCAGAGGAAGGCATTTACACCATTCACTTTTTTTCATTTAATCCAATTTAAGCAATGAAAACAGACTGTTTAATGGAACTAATGTTTGTTTCTAGTCAGATTTCATTCTTCAGATTAAATTACTAGGTCTGCACTGTCATGGTCAAATCAAAGTTAACATTTTCAGTGATTTAAATGTGGATGTTTTTTGTTACATTGATTAGGAAGGGTTTTTTAACCTGCAAGGAGATTTTAGAACACTTTTAGAAGTCAAACTGTCAAAATTGAAAGTCTTACTTTAAATTTGGATTTTTTGAAGGTGTGTGAGCTGACTTTTCTCCAAAAACAGTAGCTGAATTTAATTCAAGTGAAGCTTCCAACCTTTGCAGAACACTTCTGTCTTTCAGCTTCGGAGAAGAGTTGAGGCTCTTCCAGAGACAACTAGAGTGTTTCTAATCCATATTGCGTCTGCGTGTTTCTTGTACAGTAACAAGGCTTGTACTGCTGTAGGGACTGTGCATTCCACAGTCTGATAGCTCCTGACCACTAGAATATCTGTGCTGGATTTGTCTGAAGAGACATCCTGCAAGAATTTCTTTCTGCAGAGCCCCGTGTGGTTATTGTGGACATTCTGGTGTTGTGAAGCTGGCTGAGAGACATTGCTGTGAGGAAAGCTGCTATCCAGTTATATGGGCAAGGAAGGACATGGGCTCAGAGCATGTCAGATTTGCAATTCGTGATGCAGAACTCCTGTCATACATCTTATAATTCATTGCTTCGTATTGTGTATTTAGTCATCACACACATATTTTGCAATTGATTTTATGCTTCTTTTCTATCTCAAGCGGAAGAAAAGCAAGCATAAGGGACCAGCTTACACTGCCATGAATGCATAAAACATTAGTCACGTACACATGTGTTTTGAAATCATTTCTGTATTTTGGCAGTAACCTAAGAAACTAGATATATTCCTACCCAATTAACAAGCTAGAGAAAGAACTCACTAGTAGAAAAAAAACATTCCTCAAATTGTCTGTCAGCTCTAAAACCTCCCTCAAATGACTTTAAAAGAAAACGTAATTAGGGAAACTGGAAAGAACAGAATTAAAACAGATATGAAGGACAGTCTGCCTACAGTATCTGAACACTGCAAACATGCTAATCTAGCATTTCATGCTTTCCAGTTCTGCATAAAGTCAATGGCCCAGGAGCTGAGCATGTGTATGTGATTTTTTTCAGAAAGGTTTCTCACTGCAAAGCCTTCTCATCTCTTTGCACACTCTTGTTCTCAAGATCTGGTTTCTACCAGGGGCAGAGCTTTCCACTGGCTGGATTTGCCCTGTCTAGGCTGTCTCGTTGTTGTGCAGTTCCATTCACCTGGCTGGGTTTGCTGTCTTCCCTTGTTGTGGTGAGGAGCTGGGATGGCCGTTTGTTTATACACAGAAAAGCTCACGTCTCAAAATACTTTAGAAAGCTTCAGAACATTTTTTGTGTCTTTCACAACTATCGAGTTTCAAATTAGAGATGAAACATTCAAAAAGAGTATATTACTTGTGCACTGACGTGGTGAAAATATACACACATCACTATAATAAGCCACAGGCAAGCAAAAATAGTAGACATAGCCATGCATTAAATGGAGGACATCACTGTGACTGAATCTTGCATTCACAATTACATTCCCTCGTGCTTAGATTTCAGAGATGGTTGTCCAGATGGGCTTTGTTGGGCACCTAATTAGTAGTTAATCAAAAGGTCCTGCTGTGAACTGCTTCACAGTCCTTCTGGCATCCTAGCTGCTTGGAACACACTGAAAATGAATGAGATAAATGCACACGAGTCAAAGTAGATGTTTTATCTGCTCTATGCATCTGTTATAACTCAAAGCAGTTTTCCAAATAAAATCACTTCAGGATGCATTTCCATGTACTAAAAGCTAAATTAGTCTAGAAATTCAAAAATGGAAGCACAGCCATGTGTATTAATGTGATGGTACATGTGAAATGCAAAGGTAGATCATGTAATATATTCTGAGCCAAACTCACTGTCTTCTCTTTCCTTTCCAGATTTTGGCAATCATTTCCATCATGTTTATTGTACTATCTACAATTGCCTTGTCCCTAAACACACTTCCTGAATTACAAGGCATGGATGAATTTGGGCAGACGACAGATAATCCTCAACTTGCCCATGTGGAAGCAGTGTGCATTGCATGGTTTACAATGGAATACCTCTTGCGGTTCCTATCCTCGCCTAAGAAATGGAAGTTTTTCAAAGGCCCACTGAATGCTATTGATTTGCTAGCTATCCTACCATACTATGTCACTATCTTTCTCACAGAATCCAATAAAAGTGTACTTCAGTTCCAAAATGTACGACGAGTGGTCCAAATATTTCGGATTATGAGGATACTCCGGATTCTAAAGCTTGCCCGGCACTCAACGGGTTTACAATCCTTGGGGTTTACACTGAGGAGAAGTTACAATGAGCTTGGCTTACTCATCTTGTTTTTGGCCATGGGCATTATGATCTTTTCCAGCTTAGTGTTTTTTGCAGAAAAAGATGAGGACGATACAAAATTCAAGAGCATCCCAGCTTCCTTCTGGTGGGCAACAATCACCATGACAACAGTAGGCTATGGAGATATCTACCCCAAAACACTTTTAGGTAAAATAGTAGGAGGACTGTGCTGCATTGCTGGAGTGCTGGTGATTGCTCTTCCTATCCCAATTATTGTCAATAACTTCTCTGAGTTCTACAAAGAGCAGAAGAGGCAAGAGAAAGCCATTAAGCGCAGAGAAGCTCTTGAAAGGGCCAAAAGGAATGGTAGTATCGTCTCCATGAACATGAAGGATGCATTTGCCCGTAGTATAGAACTTATGGACATTGTGGTTGAAAAGAATGGAGAAAGCATAGCCAAAAAGGATAAAGTTCAGGACAATCATTTATCTCCCAACAAGTGGAAATGGACCAAGAGAACACTCTCTGAAACTAGCTCTAGTAAATCTTTTGAAACTAAAGAACAAGGATCTCCAGAAAAAGCTAGGTCGTCTTCAAGCCCCCAGCACCTGAATGTCCAACAGCTAGAAGACATGTATAACAAAATGGCAAAGACTCAGTCACAGCCAAACCTTAACACTAAAGAGTCAAGTCAACCTGGAAAGCAAAAGGAAGAGCTAGAAATGGAGACCCTTCCCGGCCCTATGGTGCCCTTGCTGACAACTCGCACCGATGGGATCATTGACATGAGGAGTATGTCCAGTATTGACAGCTTCATAAGTTGTGCTGCAGAGTTCCCTGACTCTGGGAGGTTTTCCCACAGCCCACTCGCTACACTTCCCTGCAAAGGTGGCGTTAATGTGATTCAGGAGCAGAGCAGAGCAGAAGGGAGTAGTGCCAGATTTGCAGAAATAAGCTCTGAAGGCAGCCACCGTTCTGCTTTTTTCATAGAAAGTCCAAAAAGCTCCATAAAGGCCAGTAACCCTTTAAAACTAAGATCTCTGAAAGTCAACTTCATGGAGGAGGATGCCAGCACATTAGTACCAGCGTCAAATGTCCTGAGAATATATCCAGACACTCTCAAGAGCAGGGGAGCTGCTTCTGCCACTGTCACAGATACTTCTTTACTCTCTGACAGATCTCTCATGAGCCCAGAAACCTCCATCTACACAACTGCAAGTGCAAGAACACCTCCAAAGTCACCAGAGACACAGACAGCCATAGCTTTCAACTTCCATGATGCCGGCATTCACAAATACATAGATGCTGACACTGATGACGAAGGTCAGCTGCTTTATGATTCAAGTCCTCCTGGAAATGTGAGTCCTAAGTACAATGTTACAAACATTGGTTATCTAAAGCAAAAGGACAATGTTTATAGAACAGAGAAGAACCATCTAGAAGCTGCTGCTTTACCCACCTCCCCTAAGCTAATAGGGCAAAACTGCATTTATTCTATGGAAGGTATCACTGGAAGAACCCAGGGCAATCAGGAGACTGTCAGACTAGAAAATCACATTTCCCCAGAAGTCCACGTATTACCAGGCAGTGGAGGACATGCTAACACACATGATCAAAGCATCTGAACAGGCTCCAAGATAACTTACTGAAAGTTTAAGGGAATGTCCATACAGTCAACTCAAAAACAAAAAAGGAAAAACAAAAAACAAAAAACAAAAAACAAACAAACAAAAAAGAGCTTCTGCATGGCATGAACTTGGCTGAAACAAGCCATCTGTTTCTAAAAGTCTGAGGGGAGGTCCAGTGTGGGTTTGTGAAAATGTCCTTCTCTGAAACAACTCTAAAGACATTGCCCACATCAGTCAAAAATAAGGATTGCAAATCATGATCACACATTGATCTCCTTTCATGTTGTCCAGTGAAGCCAATGTGACCAAATATCCATCCATTCCCCTTGAACGCTAGAGCTCCTTTTGGAAATATTAACACCTGATTTGCGTTAGTTCCATAAAGGATGCCAAGGCAGCCAGATATGAACTCTGGAATAATTTGCTGGGGTTGGTATAAAGCTATCTAAAACACAATGCTCTCTGCTTCAGGGCAGCTGTTCCTCATCTACAGCTTTCTCTGATGGATATTATGTCTAAAGGTAACAGGGAACACTTGCATTATTAGAAAAATCCAAGTGAAAACCATTTAAAATAAATAGCGGTCTAGAGAAACCAGTTATTAAAATGCTCTGTGTGTGTTTAACAATACTATATCCTGTAGGACCTGACGTTTTCTTTTGAAACATCAGCAGGGTGAGTTGCACCACTTGTATCTAACTCCAAACACCCCTTAGGACGTAGTGAAACTCGCACTTACCCTCTGCTAAAATTAAAAGCTGCCCTTGGGCCAGCACATGGCCCTTGGGGCACACACAGCCCATGCTGGGAAGGTGTGAAGGAGCCATGCAGAAGCAGGGATCTCCGGCAGCATCACAGCCCCCTTCCTGCAGCTGGGGAGCGTGGGGTTAGAAGGGGAGCTCAGCTCCTCTCTGGGCTCCTGGCTGCACCATGGCAGCTCCCGGCCCTACAGGGATGGCCGAGTGCAGTAGCTGGCCCTAGGTTTGGTCCGAGCATGGCCGGCTCCTCGGTCCTACCCTTCCCGCCCGCGCCCTGACTTCAGGCATCAGCTGAAGTCTCGCCCTTGGCGTAGGAGAGGAACCAGTTGGTCTGAAGCTTTTCGCGCCCACGTGGCGTGGTGAAAGATATGCAAGCATTACATAAATATGCAAAAAGAGGGATTCTTTAGCTACCCGCCCCGGGCCTGGTTGTGCTCTCTCTTGTCAGGAGGTTGGGTGGGAGCATCTCCTGTCGTGTTGGTGCATCCAGCACCGCAGGGAGATTGCCAGAGACAGCAGGACCAGGCCTGATGTTTTAATAGCATCCACTCATTTTTAAGTGAAAGAAGAAAAAAATAATACAAAAAAATAATAAAAAAAAAAAGATTTGACCATTTTAAGTGAACAGAACTAGCAGCCACCAGCCTAGGTTTTTAAAATATTATTGTTTCAATAAAGTTCTGTCAAATTGTGTAGGAAATAATTTGTCTTTGGTTTTTAATACTGGGGGGGAAAAGCACTTTACGTTGACTTTTTGTTGTTGTTGCAATGCTGGAGTAGGATAGCAGAGTGTAACAATCAAGCACTTTAATCAAGCACTATTTTAATTTGTGCCTCCTGTCGTGACTGTGATTTGTTACACACCGGTAGCAAGTCACAACCTGTCCTGTGATAACTGTGATGGTAATCTTTTATGTTGTTATCTGTTTCTACTGTAAAACTCAGTTGTAAATAACTCTGTCAATAAGTGTTTCCTGACCTATTTTGGAGCACCTGCCGGGGCGTGTAGCTATCTGCATGCAACAGGTCTTGGGGCGTGCAGAGGCACAGGACTCGGGAGCGGAGGCGCACGCTGGAGGAAGACTATAACCATGCGAGCCCACTGCGTTTTGTCCCTTCCCCTTGTGAAAAAGCTGTTGGTTGGTCCTGAATGTAACTGTCTGTCCGTCCGAGCTGTACAGTACTTCTGTCTGTAATCCATAATAGTGAATGCAGCATGTACGGACAAAAGCAATAAGCACATATCTGTTTTAGGAACTGTTATGGGTTACGATGATAGCTTTGCTAGGTCTCTCCGTGGCACAAACCCTCATGCATGCTGGAGCGGTTGTCCCACTGGGCTCCTGGCGGTGGGATGCAGCCCGAGGCACTGCTCACGCGTCCTCCTTGCCTCCTGCAAGGACAGGCCCTAGGGAATGCGCAAGTGAGACCTGAGCCACCACCTCATGAATTCGCCCGCTGGCAGTGGAAGAGGCCTCATGTCATGCAGAGAATTACGTGGGAGGTACTCAAACTCAGTGAGTTGCTCGAACTCGGTGCGAGCAAACTGTGCTCTCCAGGGTATTTACACAGGGCCAATTCCTGAGGTTCCTCAGCTTTTGCTCTGTCTTCACTCAGTCAAAACCACCATTCCTCCAAATGGGCTCTTTGCCTGGTGAAGGACTTTAGGATTTGGCCATAGTAAATACAAGTGTACTTAAAGGAACTGACGTATTGCTAGTTAAGATTGAGTCGTTATGAAGAAGTAAAGTGACTTTCCAGCAGATAAGCTTTAAATACTGATTTATTCTATGGCTTTCCAAGGCCATGGACTGGCAATGAGAAATTTTAACGAGAACAGTCTTAACATAACCTCTATGTTTCAGTGATCATTCATGTCTGCCATCAGCACAAATGTAAAAAGAAAAAAAAAAAAATCAGGGACAATTTTTTTGATAAAGTAAGTAATAGTGATTTCCAAGCTAAATATTTTTAGAGCTGATGCTTTCATGTGGAAAAAAGTCATATTTTACATATCACAAAAGTGAGCATATTTAAATATAGCCATATAGTGTAGTATTTACCACACTTTCATCCAAATTGATGTATTTGGTTTATAGATGGCACTGACAAAAATGTATAGATCAACGATTCTATCATTTTTAACTGATAATCAACTGGTGCAACTCTCCTTGTAACCAAAGGCCCTCTGTTTGCCTTGTGTGTTTACTTACAACACATATCTTATATCATCTATTTAGTCCTACCTTTAAAGTAGCATTTTATTGAGTCACTTTTGAAAGTCAAATTCAAAAGTATCATTAAAAATCTACCTTTTAAGTCTGAATAGCCAAAGTCCTATAGATTTCTTATAGAAAGCAAATAATTTAAAATTGAGCATATAATATGCTTGAAGAGCATTTCTTTCTTATTTGTGTATGAAGATGTAGCTCTCATTTTGTGCCCAGTTAAAAAGGAAGTATGTTTAATTTATTTTAATGAAATAAAGTCTGATTATGAAGTATGTACCTATATATGTGTGTGTGTGCATAATACACATATATATAATGTAAGCACTGGGAAATCTACTCTAATGTAAAGCTATGGTAGACTAAATCTGTACTCATTACAAAAGGAAAGACAGTGCTTTGAAAACATAGTGCTCACTAAATCCTATAGATACTAGAAAGACAATTTCATTTTATAGTTTGTTTGGTACATATCTCCCAGAGCTCATCAAAGTAGGAGCAAATATGCAATATCTCTTGCATCAAGCTGAAGTGTGCAGTTTAATCACTGACATGTGGCATTCAGGTCTGTGAACTTACTGTGTATCCTGGATCAAGCAAGACGACAGTTTCACCTGCTGCTGCAGAAGACATCGTATCTGAAAGGACTATGTACGTGTGATGTCTGCTCTTGCTTGTGTCTTATGCCATCAACACCATTTTTAATACATATATATAAATATATATATATATAGAATATATATATTTGCGGGAGGAATGGGTGCAGTTTTCTTAACTAGGAAGCAAACGAAGATCCTTTGAGTTTTAGCCTTGAACAAAGGAAAGCAGCAGTCACTTATTGCAGTAGATTTCTCAGTGCCTTTTCTTAGAAACTTCACCTAAGCACACTTACGGAAAACTAAATAAAACGAAACAGTCTCCTGTGAAATCCACGTTTTCTGAAAGGTTTGAGAGTCTATAAAGGTAGAAAAAGAAGAAAAAAATAAAGAGGAAAAGAAAACCCATGGAACGCACATTCCCTTTCTCAACATGCCGAGTGTCACATGCCTGGGAATTTGTCTGTGCAAGGCACGCAGGAAGAAGTCCAAGGCGGTTGGTTTCTTTGGCAACTATGGCTGTGATAAACTGTAGCCTTTTCTTCCCTTGCAGCTAATAAGATACACATTTCTAAGGAAAACAGTATTCTCTTCTGTAAAGTTGTAATGTATTGTTAATATTTGTACCTATTGTATATTTATGTCTTGACAGAATTATGACTGGTACAGTTTATAGTAAACCACAAGGGTATTTAAAACTCATTACAAAGACAACGTCTCTAAAGCCAAGTTCTCTCTCTGTTGGTAAGTTCCCCATAACACAATCTCCCATAGTTCTTTATGCCTCATTTTAAAGCAAGCACTAGAATTACTGAGTAAAGCAGCAGCGTGATGGGGACTGCATGGCACTGATGCCCTTCGTGCAGCTCAGTCAGGAGCAAGATGGGGAGGTGGGCTTCCCAGCAGCTCCAAATTGGCTCCAACTTCTTCATCAAAGCGCTCGTGTTTGGTCACTTCTGCTTATGGTAACTGAACAGAACAAGTGTTACCTTAGATTGCTTTAGGATCAGCCACTTGGGGAGAATATGGCTTTAAATAGTTCTTGAATAAAGTACAGATGTTTTAGTTACCTCTGTACCTTCTGTTTGCCATTGTGTTGGCTTTATAAGTATCTGATGTATGGAAAAGTCATGTGACTTTCATGCATTCCAGAGTAGTCTATTTTTCTGTTCAGATAAAAAAAAAAAAAATTATATATATATATAAAAATATAAATATATATATATGTATTTTTAGCAAATTTATAATAGGGCAATCAAGTCAGATCTCTTCTTTTTGTATTACAGAATAATATATTATATGCTTTCTTGTTCATTTACATAGCTGGTCCCCTAACTTTTTTGTTGTCATCATTTTCCTTCATTCCGAAAACACCCGCAACATCCCTCCTGGAAGTGAGTCTGTGAAAGGTCATGATGTTTGTCTGATGTTGTCATGTTTTTGTATTTTCCCATTTGTGGTGTGTAAAAATAGCCAGGGATTGGCTATGGAAACTAAGTTGTACTTTCTGAGAAACAAAGAAGTGGCCAAACTGTCCTCGGTTATGGCAGTACTGGTACGTAACAGCCAATGCCACTGGCTTCAGCGTTAACCATAGCCTGGGTACAGTGGAGTTTTTCCAGATTTACATCAATTAAGATGAGAGCATGAAGAGACAGGATTTGAATCTGATTGTCCTAATTATTATGATAGAATTGGGATAAGTATCTCATTTCAGTTTTAATCAAAATAGAAAAGTCAGACTCTTATTTCAAGGGCAGTGACCTAGCAGTTCTCAGGCAAAACTCCCTCTCTAGCTTCTACATCCGGGGGAAATTTCCCTGGGTTAAAACAGAAGGATCAAGACTTATTTCTCACTGGGTTTTTGGAATTTCTACTTTCAGTCCCAGACAAAATCAACAACAACAACAAAAAAAAAGTAAGATAATAAAAAAAACAGAACATGTACACATTCAGGAAGGGACAGGATTTGGCTAAGGAAGACCACCCATGCACCTGCTTACCTAGTGATCTTGCTTGCTCCTTCATAGGTGTACCATCACACAAATTTAATAGAAAGTCCATGAGATAAATGTGCATCTCATGGCCTGTCAAAGTCTAGCATGATGAAGAGATTCAGATTGTCCTTTAACTCCACAGAAAAGTTTTGGCTTGAATCAGCCCAACAGTCTGTTCAGTGACAATTTTTTTCCACAGATAGAATTTTGGTCTCTTTTTCTGTTCTTACTCCAAAGCAATCTCCTTTCTGTGACTTTTTTATATGCTCACCACAATACCCAGTAAATCTGAAATAATTGAATTAATTTGAGAACATAGTGTATTCAGAAAGTCTTGGTAACACCCGAATGAGCAGTATAACCATCAGAAACTGTTTGGTATCTGATTATGTATCAGCAATACTTATTTACACAGAAGGTGATTAAAACTGGGTGGGGTTTTTTGGCTGGTTGGTTGCTTTTGAAAGAAAACTAGTGCAATAATCCATTCTATCCATCATAAAAAATCCCATAAATCTCTTCAAAATGGAGTTTTCCTATCACTAAGTTCGTCTGAATGTATTTAAACACACTACAGCAAGCTTCTAGTCTTGCCAGTCTGAAATTTACTCCTGCAGGTAGCCCTCCCACCAAAACAGAAATGACCCAGATACCAACCAGCCCATCAGTGAGGAAGAGTTTATTTTTCAGCCTGTGTTTTGCACCCAATGCTGACCAGATCCAGGCTCTTGCACTGAAACTTTGTCTTGTCCAGACAAAGGAAACTTTAGGAAAGCTGAATGTTTGCATTCAGGATGTGTATCCCCTTTGTTGCTGGTGTTACCTAAGCCACAAATAAGTGTCCTTTGACACCAACGGTAGGGTGCCACAAGTGTTCATATCTGTAAATACTACTCAGAATTTTGCTTTGCTTGCTTCTGGCTTCATCGCACAAGAAATCTTCAGTCTAGAGGCTTAGAAGAGAAACCTTCATTTTTCTTTTTATCCAGAAATAATACTATTGATATTCTGTAGGATTGAACAAGGATTAACTTTTGACATTTTTAAAGGGGTCTTTTGAAGACTGCAAGGATGCCACCTTCAAGAAGTAATAATCAGTTTGGGCTCAGTGCAAAGAGCCACCCAAACTAGAACATTGTGAGATGCCAGGGAGCTGAATTTGAATGAAATGCTGAGTTATTTGCTGCTGCAAGTAAAGCCCTTTGAGGTCAATGAAGCTGTTCTCAGTTTAGCCCAGTAAAGAATTTGGACCCTTGTTGTTAAAAGCTAATTGAAAACTACAGGCTCTGCATGACCTCAGGGATGGAGTTGTCTGTCCACAGCACCTACAAGGAAACGTGAGGTGAGGGAAGAGACAGGTCAGTGAAAGCCTGGGAAAGAAGGAAATCTTTCACACACGAGGAAAATTATCATCCTTATCATGCCAGCCTTGACTGAGCAGCCTTCTGTGTCAACTCACTCTTTGTGGGCTTCATAGCACAAGCAGCATCCCAAACTCACAAATGACTGTCTACAACAGGACCACATGGTTCAACCCTGGCAGCACCCAGTCCAGGGACTGGTTGTTGCCAGGAGGACACTACTGGCTCATGGGCCATCAATTATCTTTGACTGTGTCAACCTCCAGTCTTACTGGAAATCTGCAGTTAAGGCCATTTTAGGATGCAACAGTTCTACTCTAAACACCATATTTCATTTAGAATCTCCCCTTCCTTCTGTTTTTTAGCTACTCCTGAGTACCATTAGCCACCCTTTGTCTCATGCAACCACTGGGATTTGTTTCTATCGATTTTGTTGTCTTGTGACAGACAGACGACATATCTATTTTCTCCAATTCTTTCTGGTTCTCTGGTGGTGGGTGTACAGAATTGCTCCCACACCGAAGCACTCCCCACTGATGTGTTTGGGGTGGGGGCAGCATCTCTGTATTACTTAGAACTCTGAAGCCATGATACTGCACTCAGAAAGGCCAGCCACAGCTACCAACCAAATTTGCTTTCCAGCTAGATTAGCATTAAAATAATGCCCCAACTAATACAGAAAAATCCTGCTTTCTATCAGGCCAGTGAAGCAGTTCTTAAATGGAGAGAAAACACTAACCAAGGCACTGTTGCACGTGCTGCTTGGTGATGACACCGTGCTCAATGTGGCATGCCGGGCTGTCTGTGCTGCATGCCAGTTGCTTGGCATCTCATCATGCCAAGGAACAGCCCCAGATCTTCCTTCTGCCAAAGCACAGGACAACTGCTTGAGCTGTGCTGCTCTGCCAGTCACTGACCCCATGGCCAACCCAACCAGCACTCCCCAGGGAAACCTTGATGGGCGTCCATGATTGCTAAAGGACAAGAAAGCCGTGGGGTTCCCCTTAAAAGAAAAATGCGATATTCAACAGCAAATAAAAACTGGAAAATGCAAGTTTCCTGTGATTTTCCTGCACACATGTTGCTTTTGCAGCTGGAAATTGAAAACAACTGTGACCCAGCTTGAGGAAGAGGAGAATATGAAAGCTTTCTCCATTGCCTTGCACTTCAG